CGGTTCATGATCGTATTTGTCGTTTCATCATTGACTCGGGTTCGTGCGAGAATGTGGTGGCCCAGGAAATGGTCGACAAACTTGGGCTTTCTTCGATTCCTCATCCTCATTCGTACACCCTCGCGTGGATTCGAAAGGGTACGGCGATTACAGTGGACCGTCGGGTTTTGGTTTCTTTTTCTATCGGGCCACGTTATCGTGACGAGACTTGGTGTGACGTCGTGCCCATGGACGCCTGCCACTTGCTCTTGGGCCGTCCCTGGCAATATGATCGGTCTGTGTCCTACGATGGCAGGATGAATACGTACAGTTTTATGTTCGATGGTGTGCGGGTCGTTCTTCACCCCGGGCCTCCCCGACCCTTACAGCCGGCTCCGCCTTCCCCGGTTCTTTTTTTGTCGCGCGCGGCTTTTGAGGAGGAGATACGTTCGGCTTCGGTTGTTTTTCTTGTTATTGGGTCGGGTTCTTCTGTGGACGTTGATCCACCCGAGGTCCTACAGCCGCTTCTGGCCGAATTCGGGGATGTTTTTCCCGATGAGTTACCCGCGGGTCTCCCGCCTTTGCGGGACATACAACACCATATTGATTTGATGCCTGGCTCTTCGCTTCCTAACAGGCCGCATTATCGAATGAGCCCGGCCGAACACGAGGAATTGCGTAGACAGGTGGAGGAGTTGTTGCAGCGGGGTGTGGTCCGTCGTAGTTTGAGCCCGTGTGCTGTTCCGGCCCTCCTTGTTCCCAAAAAGGATGGGTCGTGGAGGATGTGCGTGGATAGCCGTGCCATCAACCGGATCACGGTGCGATATCGTTTCCCTATTCCACGTCTGGACGACTTGTTGGATCAGCTCCACGATGCCACGATTTTTACCAAGCTCGACCTCCGTAGCGGGTACCACCAGATTCGGGTCCGTCCGGGGGACGAGTGGAAGACCGCGTTTAAAACGCGGGAGGGGCTCTTCGAGTGGCTTGTTATGCCTTTTGGCCTTTCTAATGCTCCCAGTACCTTCATGCGTGTTATGAATCAGGCCCTTCGGGATTTGATAGGTAAGTGTGTTGTAGTTTATTTCGATGACATACTTATCTATAGTCGTTCTTCTGCAGACCACGTACAGGATCTACGCTCGGTATTGCTTGTTCTTCGGGGCGAGTCTTTTTTTGCGGCGCCTCGTAAGTGCCTATTTATGGTGCCTTCCGTGTTGTTCTTGGGTTTTGTTCTTTCGGCCGAGGGAATTCGTGTGGATGATTCGAAGGTCGCTGCCATTCGTGATTGGCCGAGTCCTTCGTCATTCACGGAGGCGAGGAGCTTTCACGGTCTTGCTTCCTTTTATCGCCGCTTTATCGCCCATTTCAGTTCCATTGCTGCACCGATCACTGACTGCATGACAGGCAAGTCCTTCGTTTGGACCCCGGCGGCCGAGGCAGCATTCGTTCTGCTCAAGTCCAAGTTATCCTCCGCCCCGGTCCTCGTGCTTCCCGATTTTTCCCGTGCCTTCGAGTTGTCCTGCGATGCGTCCAAGGTGGGCATTGGTGCTGTCCTTAGCCAGGGGGGTCGGCCCGTGTCCTTTTTCAGCGAGAAGCTTTCGGGTCCTCGTTCACGGTACAGTGCGTATGATGTTGAGTTTTACGTTGTTGTTCAGGCGGTTCGCCACTGGCGGCACTATCTCTTCCACCGGGAATTTGTCCTCTTTACTGATCATGAGGCCTTGCGACATTTATCTACCCAGGACAATATCTCTGCTCGTCATGCGGCTTGGACGGCCTTTCTTCAGCAATTCACCTTTGTGCTGAAACATCGTTCTGGTTCTTCGAACAAAGTGGTCGATGCACTTAGCCGCCGTTCCCTTTTATTGACCGATTTGCGCGTCTCTGTCGTCGGTTTCGACGTGTTGCGTGAGGCTTATGCGGGTGACGCCTTCTTTGGGCCGATTTTCTTGCGACTGGCCGACGGCGTTTTTTAGGATTACGTGATCACCGATGGCTTTTTGTTTCGTGGGACCCGTCTTTGCGTCCGGATTGCAGCTTGCGCCTCAAGCTAGTCGCCGATCTGCATGGCGTCGGTCACGTGGGCAGAGACCGCACTATTGACTTGGTGAGCCGCTCTTACTTTTGGCCGAGTCTTCGGCGCGATATTGCTCGTTTTGTTAGTCGTTGTCGGATTTGCCAGGTGTCCAAGGGCGGGGCGACTAATGCGGACTTTACCGTCCATTGCCGATCCCGTCCCAGCCATGGGTGGCTATTAGCATGGACTTTGTCTTGGGTCTTCCCCGCACCCAGAGGGGTTTTGATTCAATTTTTGTGGTGGTTGACCGGTTCTCGAAGATGGTGCACTTCATTCCGTGTAAGCGAACGACGGACGCGGTACATGTGGCCCAGCTCTTTTTCCGGGAAATTTATCGTTTACATGGGCTTCCGTCTTCTATTGTCTCGGATCGTGATACCCGTTTCCTGAGCCATTTTTGGCGTAGCCTGTGGCGTATGGTAATACTCGTTTGGATTTTAGCAGCGCTTACCACCCTCAGACTGATGGCCAAACCGAGGTTGTCAATCGTTCGTTGGGTAACTTGCTTCGGTGCTTAGTGGGCGACAACCTCCGGACTTGGGATCAGCGGCTTCCACAGGCCGAGTTCGCCCACAATTCGGCGCTTAGTCGGTCCTCGGGTTTCTCGCCCTTTCAGGTGGTCTATGGTTTGATTCCGCGCGGCCCAGCCGACTTGTTTTCTATTTCTTCCGGGCCCACCGCGGAGAGGCGTGCTGCTGACGTCATTGCCGACTTGCAGGCGGGCCATGCGGCCGCACGTGCGCGATTGGAGGAGTCCGCTGCTGTTTACAAACGGCGGGTTGATGCCCGGCGACGGGAGGTGGAGTTCGAGGTTGGCGACTTTGTGTGGGCCGTTTTAACGAAGGACCGGTTTCCTGCTCACGAGTACAACAAGCTGTCCGCCCGGAAGATTGGCCCTGTGGAGATTATTGAGAAGATTAACCCCAACGCCTACCGTCTTCGTCTCCCCAGTCACATTCAGACGTCCGACGTATTTAATGTGAAGCACCTCATCCCTTATTCCGGTGATAATGATGATTCCGATGAAGCCCCCTCGGATTCGAGGGCGAATCCTTCCCAACTGGGGGGAATGATGCAGATGAAGCCGCACTCGCTTATATAGAAAAATACGAGAGGCTTCATATTTAGTTATCTATTTATTATTTATTTCCTAGTTTATATTATTGCATGTTATTTAGGATTATTATTTGTCTTGCCTAACAAGATAAATAATAGGAATAATAATTAGGAGTCTTGGGGTTTCCCTATATATTGTACTCCTATCAGAACCTTTTACGCAGTTTTATTGAAATAAAGATTTATATTCTTCTGGTTTCTTGAGTTCTTCAAGAACAATTCTCCCTTTTGTCTACCACGTGCTGCATCAGTCTATATATAAGCGTTGTATTCGACTTGCCCAGATACTGAAAATAGAAATCATCCAGTTTTCATTTCTTGCAAATCAAAAAATATGATCCCCAAATTGAATAACCATCAAATATTATGATAGGGCTGTGTCTTTCCAACAATTACTCTGTGATGATGACAACATCACTTCTAATTGATCAATTGTCAACAGAGCATGAAATCAAATGTGTTTGGATCCGGAAATAATGCAATTAAATGTAGTCATCATATATTCAAATATATAATACGATAGCCAAGAAGAAAGGATTTCAAGAACCCCCAACGAAGAAATTTAGTCTTTTCAATAATCAAAAGATGCTTAATGGAAACTTGAAGCAGAAATCACTCGGTAATTAACATAAAACTATTAAGAACCAACAAATAGCACACTGAAAATGGATGAATTTACCTTTAAGTTTCTAACTTGGTGTGGACAACCAGCAGGTATAAAAACAGCATCACCCAACTTCTGAACAAATGTCCATGGTTCAATCCCTACACAAGCACAAAAAAATGCACGACATGAATGAAACAATACTTTTCTTACACCTGGCTGCCACATGGAATAGCTATATTGAAAAAAAAAAAAAAAAAAATACCCACCATATTCCTCCTTAAGCCTCCTTTTATGCTCCATGGTCAAGTATACAGATTGATCATGGATAGGGTGGACAACCTGTACCAAAACAATAGATAAGACATAATCCAAGGATACATACCTTAACAGATTAATTTAACAAAACTAAATATTTACCTGCGGTAACGGATTGCCATGAATATGTCTAAATTCCTTGAAGTGTTTCCTCACGTATTCCTCCAGTTTAGGTACATCCTGCCTCCTAAAAATATCCCAAAGAGCACCACCTTCAGGATCTCCAGAACTTTCTGAAATATTTTCAGGAGCCGAAATATTGATCTCCTCTTGTTTGGAACCTTCTTCTTGGTCTTCTTTACCAGTTCCGAGAGTTTCAGCAGATTTCTGTCGATCGACAATAGGTATTTCCAGATCGCTATTTCTCACGATTACATCATCATTATTTTTTCCTGTGCAAAGATGTACCTGGTTGGAACCTTCATCTCGGTCATCTTTACCAGTACCGGAAGTTTCAGACAATTTAGGTACTTCCAGATTGCTATTTCTCACGATTACATCATCATTATTTTTTCCTGTGCAAAGATGTACCTGGTTGGAACCTTCCTCTCGGTCTTCTTTACCAGTTCCGGAAGTTTCCGAAAATTTCTGTCGATCGAGAATAGGTATTTCCAGATTGTTATGTTTCTCGATTATATCATCATTATTTTTCCCTGTGCAAAGATGTACCTGGTTGGAACCTTCCTCTCGGTCTTCCTTACCAGTACAGGAAGTTTCCGAAATTTCCTGTTGGTCGACAATAGGTATTTCCAGATTGATATTTCTCACGATTACATCATCATTTGTTTTTCCTGTGCAAAGATGAACCTTCTGGCCCATCTCAACACCCCTGTATTCCGACACCCAAGGTTCTACTATTTCTTTTTCAATGGACTTTTTACTTGGTGAATTTCCATTACTATAGTCAGAAGCTGTTGGCTTATTGGTTTCACATGCCAACTTGGAGGCGTCCAAAGATTCAGTTCTGTACAATTCTATTTTATCCTGTGCAGCATGCTTCTTCTGCAGTTCTTTTATAGTCGAAAGCTGCTCAGGTTTGAGAACAGGTTCCTCTACATGTGTTAAAACATTCACCTAAAAGAAAGAAAGAAAAAAAAAAAAAAAAAAAAAAAAAAAAAAAAAAAAAAAAAAAATCACAGGTTGTGAATACAGCCGGAAACCTGGACTGCGAAGCAACAAGAGTTTATATTGCCCAATCAATCAAACTTACAAATATCATTAGGTAGCAAAGTATCACAAATGTAAAACTTCATTTTTCATGTACTTCTCATACTATTTTTTCCCAACTGTAACTAGCTTGTTGTCTCTTCCTTATAAAGCTTCTTAGTAGTTTTGCCCATGCACTTGTACGTCTTACATTTAAGAATAAAATTTTGAATTTTAAAACAAATAAAGAAAAAATAAGGTAGAAAAGTGGACATACTGCATCAGACATATCACAGTGTAACTTTGTCACAGAGTCTCCCCTTCCCAGTTCGGGAGAAAGTCCATAGGCAATATATGTCTTGGGCCCCATATCTGGCTTCAGAGACTCCTCAGGCAATTTGACAGCTAGGTTAAGGTACCCATGACGTGGATGTGTGTAGTCTTTGAAGGGCAAGCAGCTGATGAATTCTGCACCATGACGTGGCAGCCTCTCCTCGAACAAGTTAGAAGGAGGCCAATCTTTCAACTTGAGAATCTGAGGCCATCCATAACTGTCAAATTGACACTTCGAGTACCCACTGAAAAACTTGTGAATATTGATTTCGACCTGCTCGCCAGTGAAAATGATAAAATGATTTTTCCCGTTATTGGAATCAGCATAAATGACATAAAGCACGCAAGTCTACTACTTTCTGATAAAACTGAAGGGACAAAAAACGAGATGAATAATCTTCAGTATACCTTGAACCGGCCCATGGTTTTACCCGGCCGGGTTCAGGTTCATGTTTTTTCACAAATTGAACCTCGGTGGATTTAAACATTTTTATTATTTTTTTATTTTTTTTAATTTTCCGGTTGGGCCCGGAACCGGCGATTCTGGTTCACATAACATGCCAACCTGAACCAGCGGATCCGACCCGGAACCGGCATTTGGCCACCTCCAATGGAGATTATACTAGATATAATGTATCACCCAAAATAGCAAAAATGAATGATTTTCATGAGAAGAGATGCGAGCAAGCAAATAGAATATTAAAAGCATACTGAAGAACATAAATTGGAATGGATACATTATCTAACCAAAAACATATCTACTCAAGTAGTCCAAGAGTAGAAAGCATCTCATTCGAAAGTAAAAACTATCAAAATAAAAGATGAATTATAGTCAGTACATTTATTTGAAGAAAAAATTTATAATGAAAAGTGAGAAGAAAGTCGAGGGGATGATGGCTTTTTCAATTAGACATGGATTGCTAAACTATAAATGAGCATTTACAGCTGACTTGCATCTACTTAATCGGCCCAATCAGATTTCCAGTTTTTCTACACCAGATATAGGCCACAAAATTTTTTCAAAAGATATCACTCAGTACTGAACAAGGAACCAACAACAGATGCAGAATTGGGCTACACGTGATATTCATTATCCAATAACTTAATCTGCAGAATTCCAAGGAACCAACAACAAATGCAGAGAATATGTATTGCACTGGAAGAGGACAGCTGCAGCAAATAATTAGCAAAAGAAAAATCCAATAGGCAGTGTTGAGAATAAAACAATAACCTATCTAAAAGCTGTCAGAGCTACCAGTTTCGAGATAACAAGACACCTAAATTAATATATCATTCAGCTATTCCATTAAACAGACTACTCCGAACAAAAATAAAAATAAAATAAAATAAAAAGATAATCAAATATGAGGGAGCTGACCTCACACCAGTCCAAGCAATTTAAAGCGGCCACGTTGAGAAGAAGTTCGGTCTTATGGTTCCTTTTCTGACGAAAAGCCCGCCACATAACCATAGGCTCCCAGCTCAAACCAAATGTAGTCTCGAGCACATTACTAACAACCACAGGCTCACCTCTCAACCAATGCCGTTGAAAATGCCTCAAATCATCACTTTTGAGGCTTTTAGCCTTGGGACAGTATAAGAAATCGTCCTCCGAGTCCTCCCGGAAAGCCGCTCTACGCAGTTCATGACGGCTATTTGTGTTCTCGCCAGATAACTTTAAACACAACGAACACTTCTCAAAAATTTTAGGCAGTTTCTCCATATCTAACCTCACCAATTTTTCCGCTCTCAGCAACAAGTTAGAGACAACATTATCCCCGAAAACACTGTTTAGTTCTAAAATCCCTTCACCGCAGCCCCCCACAAACGGCGGTGGGCATGGGATAGTACCTGTTTCTGTAGGTTTCCATTCGGACTCTATGACAGCAGGATTATTAGCAACAGTCTCAACAATTTCAGGATGAGGTTCATTCTTGATTGAAAGAGAATCCTCATCCAGATCACCGTGCAAGTAACTTAGTGTACGACTAACATATTGATCAATGATATCCTTTTCCCTGTCCTGCAGATGTCCATCCCGAAGCTCCCGGCAACAAGTGAGGCACAAGTCGTACGAACACTTGGGGCAGCTCCGGTAAAAATCAGCAATGGACGTTTTACAATTATCACTGCATAAGAATACACTGAACAATGACTCATTTGAATCCTGTGAGAAATTACTCGGGTGAATACTTTTTTATTTTTGATGATTTACCAAAATATTCGTTCGTTCAGCTCGCAGTCTGATTTTTGTGGCTTTACTTCTGAAAGTGAGAGTCCTGCTCAAACAAACTGTGTATAATCAAATAATTTGAAAGACAACCCAATACAAGTATAAGTAGTTCGAGCTGCCACTATGAGTTCAGCTGGAATATTTATAACAAAACGCATCTATAAAGTAAACAACATATCGATTATGTTTTCCTAGAAATATGCTTCGGTTCATAACCACTTAAGATTATTAACGGTAATATCTGCTAGAAATCAGTTTCAGGTCCTTACAAGATTCATCAATGTTCACGCTTTAGAATAATCCAATGAATCCAACTTGATTTTCAGTCCTACCAAACAACCATTTCTATTATATATTTTTTTTGTCACCAACTCCCATTTTCTTCCCAGTCTGACAGATTCGTTCTCTTCAACAAATTTTATATTGATTTGTTCACTAGTCATTCCTAATGTATCTTGCAAAAATTCATTCTCCACTTAATAGGTTACCAATGAATATAAAAGATAACAAATTATATATGCAACTTACAATTTGAACTTCTGGAAAAATATATCCATGCCCGTCTTTGTCAAAAGCCTCATATTTGTCAGTTAACAAATCTAAATAAATGAATGACACAGTGACTCGGGTGTAGAATAGGTTGCATCCCAAGATATGTCCATTCAATATATATCAGTCTCGTCTAGGAAATACCTCGTATCTTAGCTTCCATTTCCATCTCAACTAGTTGTTCTGCATGAAATTGTTTTAAGAAGGGCAGAAGCAAACACAGCATATATTTAGAGTATTGCATCTGTTCTTCATCATTGTATTCCAATTCCAGATTCAACTGTTGCATGAGCATGAAGAATAGGTTCAAAAGAGAAGAATAGAAAAAGGAAGAACAAGCTAAGCAGAGTGCAGTAAATATAATAACAAAAAATGGAGAATAGATAAAACCAACCGAAATCGGCACCTCCAGCCGCAAGCAACTCTTGCAATTGCAGTTCTTACAACAAACGGGGCAAGCTTCAGCAAAAGCCTCCTCCGGAAGCTGAGGATACCTGTGAAAGGTCCTCCTCAGACAATGACGATATACAAAATATAATAATGGACATGAGACAAAACATATGATGGTGTCCATATTAATTTCTACTGTAAGTATGGAGGCCTTCAAAATAACCACAAAAGCTACAAAGAGATGATGATAATAGGAAGCACAAAGATGAGTAGAGTACAAATACGAATCACGAAAATGAGTGTTGTCTAGTTCCACATGCCTACTCTTCCCTGATGATAATTGTGAAGGTAGTATATATCATAATCAACTATAAGTGACTCAACCGTCCAACCAATCAGATGTACGATTGACTCGAAGGTAAACTTCATAAGGAAAATAATGCACCTAAATTTTCAGACTTGATAAAATAAACCCCCTCTCAAAAAGACACATACCATCTATTCATGCAAGGCACGCAATATCGTTTTCTCTTACACTTGGTGCAACGCACAACCCTTCCTTTATCGTTCCTTTTGCACTGGTGGCAGGTGTTTCGCTCAATCCCCTACAAAATACACAACAAAAGGCAATATGCACAAAACAATATGCGGTGTGAATAAGTAAATAATAAATGACAGGAAAAACACGAAAAGAACTACAAAAAAAAAAAATAAAAATAAAAAATTACTTTTCCTTTGTGCTTTCCACTAATGGCTGTCTCCGCTGCACTATCCAGTCCGTCCGCATTTGTTTCAGGGCAACATTTTCTTTCAGTATTTCCAGTTCCTTCTTGGTTTGCCCCTCCTTCAACTCCCTCCTCCTGCCCATCTTTCAATGCTTTTCTCTTCCTTCCTCTTTTCTGGCCTTTCAGTATTCTATTTTTATTTTCTTCCACATCCTCATGGACAATACCATTATTTTCCACTCCCTTCCCTTCAAATTCTTTCTGCGCGCCATCCTTTCGAGGTCTTCCTCTCCTCCTTTTCGGTCCCACCACTCTCCTATTTTTCACTACCTCCCCAACCTCAACCCCTGTACCTGCATTTTCCCCTCTCTGACCTTCAACCTTCTCTCCGGCTCCTTTTTTAAATGGTTTCCGGCCCCTCTTTTTTTTTCCGCCTTCCACCACACCATCAATGCCAACATCAGCATTTTCGACTCCCTTCCCTTCAATCATCTCCGCCTCCCCATCTTTCAGAGATCCTTCCGTCTTATTCTTCTGGCTTTCAACTCTCCCATTATCTACACCCTGACAGACAAAGCCAATAACTTCATTTTCCACTACATTTCCTTCAACTTCCTTCTCCGTCCCTTCACTCGACCCATTTTTTACTTCCCCCACACCCTCACCAGCATCACCTTCAATTTTCAATCGCTCTTCCACTGCACGTTTTGACGGTCTTCCCCTCTGCTTTTTCGGTCCTTCCACTTTCCCACTATTCCCCCTCTTTTTTTTGGAACCTTCAACTACCCCAGTTTTCACCTCACTACCAATACCTCCATTTTCCACCTCCCCAGTTTTCTTTGGCCTCCCCCTCCGTTTCTTTAAGCTTCCATTTATCCTTACCTCCTCACCACCACTGCCAATAGCTTCATTTTCCACAACCAGCCCTTCAACGCCCTCCCTTCTTTTTCCGCCTTCCACCACACCATCAATGCCAACATCAGCATTTTCGACTCCCTTCCCTTCAATCATCTCCGCCTCCCCATCTTTCAGAGATCCTTCCCTCTTATTCTCCTGGCTTTCAGCTCTCCCATTGTTTACACCCTGACAGCCAATAACATCATTTTCCAAAACATTCCCTTCAACTTCCTTCTCCGTCCCTTCACTCGACCCATTTTTGACTTCCCCCACACCCTCACCAGCATCACTTTCAATTTTCAATCGCTCCTCCACTACACGTTTTGGCGGTCTCCCCCTCGGCTTTTTCGGCCCTTCCACTTTCCCACTATTCCCCCTCTTTTTTTTGGAGCCTTCAACTACCCCAGTTTTCACCTCACCACCAATACCTCCATTTTCCACCTCCCCAGTTTTCTTTGGCCTCCCCCTCCGTTTCTTTAAGCTTCCATTTATCCTTACCTCCTCACCACCACTGCCAATAGCTTCATTTTCCACAACCAGCCCTTCGACGCCCTCCCTTCTTTCTGGGCCTTCCACTTCCCCAGTTTTCACTACCTCCAGACCATCAACACCAATACCCTCACTTTCCTTCTTTCTCTTCCGACCCCTTCTCGGCCTCTCGTCATCTTCCGTAACATATAAACCCCTGGTCGTCTCATCTTCCCACACATACATACCCTGGCTCAGTTTCCCGATCTTCTCTTTCGCCAGCTGGCATGATTTCCTCCTCGACTCCCTCTTTATTGAGGCACTCACTTCCCTCCCTTTTCCTTTACTGCCCGGATTCCAGTTTCCCTCCTCTTTCACGACCTCTACGTCCTCCTGTTTACCGTCTCCTTCATCGTCCCTAACTTTCTCTTGCTCGGCTCCATAATCCCGAACTTCAAATCCAGTCTCCACGTTTTCTTCAGCCCTTTTCTCGTCCATGGCGCATAAACCCTCATCTTCTTCCGCTGCAACATTCAAGTCCATGACTACTTGTTTTCTTCTTCTTGTTTTTTCTCCTTTTCACGGGGTTTAGCATACACATAAAACCCCCATTCTACTCGGGAAAGAAGATGGAAAAATAAATAAATAAATAAATGAAAAATCAATCTCCTTTATATCTAAAAACCCTCTTTTTTTCAAAGTGTTTTCCCCTCTCATTTCATATCCTTTCTGTTTCCATATAACTGACCTTTTTTCCGGCCAAGTTATTGGACTTTCTCGAAATTAATAGCAAGAACCAAACTCTATCTACTGAAATCTTATTTGTTGGTTAAATTTTAGATTTACCACGAAGGTCGACAAAACAAATGACGTTACGTGGTATTAAAGAATAGCATATATGATATGAAAGGCAATGACTAGACAACAAATCAAATTATTTTCGATTTGAATTCAGTAATTGTGATTTATATTCGTAAAAATTTTAATTTGTTGTTTAATATTCAGAATTTATTCGAGTTCTGAATTGAAGTATGCACTGATTCAATTCAAAATTATCGAATATTCGATTCTTCATAATAGTTATACATAATTTAATATATTTTATATTGATATAGCACTCATGATAGATCAGTGGACCGGCTTGAACGGTTAAGATATATGGTATTGCATACCTTTGAAGATATAGTAACATTCGTAAGAGATAGTCAAACAAGTTTTGTATATCTACACAGTGATTTTAAAGGATCAGACTCCTTGGTTATAAGAAAAATCTCTCATCTTGGGAGTAAGTCATTAAATCTTTTATAATAAGGGATCCAAGTTCAATTTTCAGACCTATGCTCTGGATAAATTTCTCATTTGTAATAAGTTTGTGAATAAGATTTTTGACTCTAGACTTATGCTTTGAATAAGTTTCTCAGTTACACTACGTTTGAGAACAAGATTCCTGACTTGAGCTACGTCGGGGCCCCTTGATGAAGATGGAGTTTTCGAGGCCTGAGCACACCGAGAGTCGAGGGTTGATGTGATCGGGTGAGGCCGCGTGAAGGATCAAAACGATGCGCGCATGAACGAAAAGACGAGCGCGAGCTCAAACGATGCACACGCAAGCGCGGTGCGATGCAAGTTTGGCGATGCGGGCGACAGCGAGCCGGGAAGGGCGGGCGCAGAAACGTGCAATGGCACAGACGCACTGGAATGTCGCGCGGGCGAACGAGCAAGGGCGTGGCGAGCTGGCGCGCTGGCGAGACACGCAAGGCCCGAAGTCATCACGCGAGGCATGCGGTCAAATCAAGAAGATTCTCAAACGCACGCGGGACACGCACGGGCGTAATGTTCAAACGCACGAGGCATGCCGTCATATCAAGAAGATTCTAGAAAATACTTATTAATTAGATTAATTATTATTAAGATAAATTAGTCATAGATTATTTATTATTATTGTTAGTTAGTTGGTCGTGAAATAAGTTAGGAAGTTTATTTATTTGTGAGTGTTATTTAGTTATCGTGAGTTAGTTTGTTAGTATATGTAGTTAGTTACTTTTAGTTATGTTTGATAAAACTAGCTGATAGCTGATAAGCTAGCTTATAGCTTACTCATAAGTTTCGAGCTTATGACTTATAACTGAAAAACTTGCTTATATGATAAAAGTGTTTGGTAAAATTAGTTGATAAGCTAGCTACAATAAAATTTTCAATGAGCTTATTTGAAAAGATACCAAAAGAAACTTATCAAATAAGTTCGAGCTTTTTAAAAAAAGTTCGTCCTACCAAACGGAGCTTATTTGAGTACATGGAGCTTAGAAGTCTAGTTATTTTGGAAGTAGGAAATTAAATAATTATTATTTAGGATAGATATTTAGATTCCATTATATAAGTATTTGATTCCTATTAGGATTAGTACAACTTTAGCCTTTATTTTCTTTAAATACCTATGTACTCATTCGATCTTATTCATTATGGATTAATGTTAATAGATAATCGACCTTTGGTCACCAATTTCTTGTGTTAGAATTCTTAGAGTTTTATCGCAAAATCCTTGTGCCAAACAAGGTATTTCACCTTATAGTTCGTCATAACTTCGAGTTTGACAGGATATCACGTTCAAGCTGTGTCAAAATCGTGAGAAGATAAGGATAAATCCGAGTCGTCCACAACTGATTGTTTGTCCCATTTTTGTTGCGTTTCTCGTGTTTATTTTATCTTTCTTTTTCCCCCGCTTTAGGTTGTTTCTTTCGTTTTTAGTCCGTTTCTTGTTCTATTATGTGTTTTCCTTCATTTTGAGTCATTAGGTGTTTTTTGTTTGTTTTTCTGGTTTTCTTTTGTGTTTTGTCGTTTTTGGTGTGTAGGTCAAAAGATTCAGGTGAATTTTCTCTTCAGTAAAAGTTGGTTTCGGGAGCATAACTGGATAGATGGTTCGTTAGCGACGCATAGAAAAAAACGGAACTCAATTCTGAGTTCGGACGAGCTCAAACGAGGCGAAAACGCAAAATGGCGCAGTGCAGCCCAGAATATCGCGAGTCGCGAGCACAAAGTCGCGAGTTTTAATCGCGACTCGCGACTTTAACAGAGCCTCCAGCAGCCCAGCAACCCGTCCAACTCGCGACTCGCGACCCTGTCGACCCCTGTTTTTATTTTTGCTCGTTTTTACTCGTTTTAGCTCCATTTTTCGCGCACTATATATCAAAACGAACCTCCAGACCTAAGGAACAACCCCCAATATCGTTCCTTTCAAGTTTTCTCTCCAAAAACTCAATATTTTTAGGATAATTTTCTCCGCTTTTCTTTTTATTTTCTCATGCTTGGATTGTTGGACACATAGACATTTGGATTGAAATCTTTCAAGTCTTAATCCGATTGTAAGTTTTTCAATTCTATTTTATTTTGATTGATTTTATGTTCTTAATTCCAATTAACATGAGATTGAATTTAAGCATGAGGTAACCCATTCAGCTAGGGTTAGGGACTTTGATTCTTGTTTGAATTATGTGGAATGCGTTTTGTTCAATTTATGCGAGTTGTGTGAATTATAGGGTTAGTTGATTGATGACCATTCTAACCTAGTTAATCGACGTTTAGAACCGAGAGGGGAGATGTCGGTCGATTTAGGCTCGTATAGAGTAGACTTATTCGGAAACGTATTGACTATGTGTTGCTTGTTTGAATGAGTTTATCGTTTATGTATGTGCTCTTGTTACGAAGAGTTATTGAGCATAGCCCTCTAGACGTGTAGGCTTGTTAAATCTCGTAATCGAACAAATAATCGTTCAACATAGTTTGAGACTTGATGAGATTTCCCGACCCCTAGAACTTCTTCTATTTCTCTACCAATTTATTTGTTATATCATTATTTGTTTTCCTAGTTCTCATTAGTTTTAGATATTTCTTCAAATCATCCTTGATTAGAGTGTTTAGGATTTATTTTCTTTTCGTGTGTGATTAATACCAACGCTAAATTCCGAACCGTCTTCCTCGAGAGATCGACCCGGGGAACAAATCTTTTTAGTCGGTACTCGCTAAAAATAAAAATAATTTGCTACAACACGATCGCCGAGAAGATATCTGTGGCAAGCAACTTTAAGCAAATCAAGTTATCGAGATACACAATCTTCATCATTGGTGCTTTTGTTGAGAGGGTCGGTCGTGTATCTTCGTAATTACTGCGAGAGGGTGATTACAAAAAAAAAAATGAGTGATTGCCGTGAGAGGGTAATTGTTCGTGAGTATAAAAAAAAACATAAATTGAGAGGGGTAAGATCGAGTGAGAGAGTTTGGTTGAGTAAAAAAAAAACTATTTGCGTGAGGGGCTGGGAATTGTCCTGGAAAAAGAAAAAAAAATGATTTGCCCCTCAGTTGCGCTAGGTCGACAGTGGATGCATTCGTCGGCGTAGGGGGCAAAGATCTGAACTTCGGGGCCAAAACTCACTTTGCCCCTCAGCTGTGCTAGGTCGACATCCCCAAGGATTGACGGTGTATTCCAGGTTGTCATTGTAGATGAAGTGGCCCAAACACGCGGGGGTCGACGCCAACTCCTGGGGGAGCGCAGGTGGCAACCTCGATGGTAGCGTCGATCTCAACATCTTTGCGGCTCATGGGGACGTGCTCGTGGGCGCGAGCATCGCCCTGAAGGGTCTCTTCAACCAAGTTGAGGTCGATATTTGAACACTCGGAGGACCACTATCGACGTACACTCTTTCCCCCTCACCATCTGAGGGACTGGAGCTGAGGTCGATGACCTCAACTGTGGGAAATCTCGACGGGATTCTTTCGTTTAAGCCTGTCACTGCCGCCGCCGGAGTCACCCGAATGACTGAAATCGGGGTAATTTCAAGTGGCGGTGTCGTCTCCGCCGCCGGAGGAAAATAAACCACCATTTCTTTGCCCTCCGCCGTGCGCCCCTCACTCTCGCCAGGATGACTTGCCGCAGAACCGGAAAGACTCGACATGTTGAAAGGAAAAGAAAAGAATTTGAAGGGAGAGAATTATCGAGATGAAAATGCTGAATACCACTTCACAAACTGCTCGGGAAGCTCTGAAAATCGTTCGCCAAAAATCGCAAGAAAGTAAAAATCTCGCAAAGAAGACGATGATACATATATATAGGAGTCTTCGACCAATCACAGCGTGACACTTGGCCGACTTTTGAATTTCAAATATTTAATATCAAAACTGCTCAAATTGAACGGCCACGATCGATACGATCCGACGGTTCGGGATTAGCCACGATGGTGCCGTGTGGCCAAGCAACCGCCGTTTATCAAACGGACACGACGAATAATGAGGACGAATCAGATGGTGACACGTGAAAAGGTTCTGAAACGGCACAACTTTTCAAGGCCGACAATAAAAGTAACGGCCACATTGCATTAATTGGCTCGTCGCTTCGTGTCACGTCATCAATGCACGGCTGCGGAGAAAAAATTTTAGAAAGTTGAACGGAAGAGCCGAACTGGCAGGCAGGTAAGTCGGGATAAGATCTGGCAAACTCGAGTCTAGGTATCAAGATGACGACCTTAGATGAGACGCTAAAGACCTCTCATCCAAGCTCGGGGGCCTGTATGTTGACATCCGTGTTAGCCAAAAGAAGGCCGGACGGAGGCGACCCTAAAAACCAGGTCGGGAACCTGGTCTAACACACAAGTGCCGAGCTGAATTACAAGCTAAAGTAGCCGCCGCGCCCGTGTGACATTATTCCCGAGGCTGGCACTCACGTCGTTCGAGATACAACGCCGACCTCGGCAGGTACCGACCTGAAAGAAGGATCCTGAAGGCCCATGGAAGACATTTTCGGGAGCCCAGTACCCCTACCCCCTCCCCCCCAGAGACGAGCACTGGACTCGATAGTAATAAAATACTGCTACTAGGGAGGTCATCATTGACGATTGGACCGGCCGTCATAGTCTGTCACCCTACAGCATCTAGCCCGACAAAAGCACGCCAAACATTATATGCCCACCATGTGTGCATTAAATGTCTGACAGACAATGATTGAGAAAACCTCAAATCGCATTAAATAACTGTTAGGGAGGCGCCAGTCTGCTCTATAAGGACACTGTACGACAGGACCTGTGAACAGTACATGAACAGTAGCACATTTAAGGATATTATAGATAGGAACCAATTTCATTTATTTTGGGTTGTTGAATCTTCAACTACTCTCCCTTCCCTCTACTTTCTCTCTCTAAGAATCTGTAACAAACTCTTGTAATTATCCCAAGTGTAATAAAGTTGCCGACCTCACTTACAGAGGCCGACCTCGTAATTACGTAATAACACTTGATTAAACCGTATATTCTTCTCGTTTCTGATTCTTTATTTTTACCAAATCTTATTTTAACCTTTGATCGGATCCGTCCATCAACAGACATCTAAAGAGGACAACGGATGATGAGGATCCAATTACTTAAATGCGAATGGCCAAGATGGAAAAGATTAAATGGATGCCAAATAAACTTGACTCACGCCAAAGAAATGGACCTTTGAGTACAAATAAATTGGGCTATCAAGTCTTTTTTTAAGCGATAACTATATTAACAATAAGAAACTCCAAAGAGTAGAATCTAGGTGTCACCTGATACCACTGAAACAAGAACAAAGTTTGGACCAACCCACCTTGAGATTATACAATGACCAAGGGAGTACAAACTCCAAATAGGGGAACAAACACCCGCAAAAAAACCTTCATTAGGGAGGCACTAACTCGATATAGGAGACTGAAAGCCAGACATAGTTGGACTAACAAAAAGGAAACATGAGAAAAGCAAAAATGACACACACCTAAACAACAAATAGAATAAGACTTCTCCTAATTCTTAAAGGCAAAACACACATCTACCCACCCAGCAACTGTGCCAAACCCCCCACAGCGCCAAATCCTAACAGAGCAGCAAACTATAGTCCTAAATCCAAAAACTCTGACCAAACATGAGTCGTCTAGATAGATATGCTGAGTAGATTCTCAGCCCATATCTGCACTCGAAAGATCTTCATCACCGAGGGAAGAAGAGGATGACCGAAAAAGCCCCGAACCGCACACACAGAGGAGTCGCCCCGACAGCCTAAGGCCAAACGATATTCCCCTACCTGAAAAAACCAACGAACAAGAGGCTGAGAGGACATCATCCGGCAAACTCTAGGTAGGAGACGAGCAGACAAACCAACGACACTCATCCTGGCCGGAGAGAGGGCGGTACGACTAGAGACGCCGCTGACCCTCTCCCACCCTAGGGCAGCAAATGGGAATTAAATCACCTACCTCGGCCATGACCGAATCTGAGGGGCCTCAGATTGGGGAGCTGCGGTCCACTAGCGACGAGGATTTTGGGGCTTTTATGCGGAGGAAAATTTTGAGCGAGGAGAGAGAAAAAAAAGTGAATTACGTGTGGCTGCGTAAACTTGATAAGTAGGCTATCAAGTCACATGAGCAGAGTTTAATTTTTTTTTTTTTTTTTTTTTTTTCAATTTTTTTTTCAAATGAAGCAGAGTTATTTAACATATGTTGAAATCTTTTTCCGCATATTATATAGAAAAAAAAAAGGCAAAAAATGGTGAAACGAAAGGGCTTAAACTGATTTAACCGACCTTAGCGGGATTCTCAAATTTAAAACGGCTCCGAAGAAGAAATTCGAATATTGAAAACTGAACATTTCTCACTTAATTCTCATCATAAACTTCTCTCTTTCTTCGTCATTTGTATTCACTCTCTCTGTTCCTTCTTTCAAGAAAACACATAGTAATCAAGAAAAAAGAAGAAAGAAAAACCATCAATTGCAGTTTGATCATCAAGCCCTTTTTCGAATCAGATTCTGTAAGTTACGTTATATTTTGACAATCTACGATTTCTTGAACTCTGTAATCCCTCTTTTTATTGTTCTTACAGTGTTTCAGTTTCTTCAACTATTTTATATGTAGTTATATTCATCAAACAGTGATTTCTTTGAGTTGATTGTAGTCTGTTTTCATGTCGTTTACAGTAATGATTTGTGATTAACAAACATAATAATGGCGATTGGTCTCGTAAAGTTTCTTGATTTGTGTGTGTGCAGGGCGGTGTTTGGCAAAACCCATCTCAAAATGAATGATCTCATGACAAAATCTTTCCAAAGTTATGTTGAACTGAAAAAACAGGCCCGGTCGGATCTCGAACGAGAGGGTGGTGACCTGGAATCGGGCCACGAAGACGAAAACCTCACGCAGTTCTTCCAGGAAGCCGAACTCATAAAGATCCAAATGAAAGAGATAGGTCATCTCCTTCACGACCTCCAAAGCCTGAACGAGGAGACTAAGTCGACCCACAGTGCCAAGATCCTCCGCGGGCTTCGGGCCCGCATGGAGTCCGACATGTACTCGGTCCTCAGAAAGGCCCAGATCGTGAAAACAAGACTTGAATCCCTCGACAAGTCGAATCTGGCCAACCGGAACATGTCAGTCAAGTACGCGCAAGGCAGCGCTGTGGACCGGACCAGGATCTCGACCACAAACGGGCTTCGGGCCCAGCTTAGGGACCTCATGAACGGGTTTCGGGCCCTGAGGGAGAAAATAGTCTCGGACTACAAAGATGGCCTGAAAAGGAGGTACTTTAACGCGACAGGCGAGTGCCCGACCGAGGAAATAATCGAGAAAATGATGGCTTCGCGAAATGGGGCGGTTGAGGTGTTTGAAAACCGGGCGGACATTACTAATATGGAGAATAAGGAGAGGCACGAGGCTGTGATGGATATATGGAGCAGTTTGAACAGGCTTCATCAGGTGTTTCTCGACATGGCTGTTATGGTGGAGGCTCAAGGGGAGACTATTGATGTTATCGAGAAAAATGTTGCCGTGGCGGCTAGTTTCGTGGGCGGGGGTACGAATAGTCTGTTTTATGCGAACCAGGCGAAGAAGGGCCGGAAGTGGGCGTGTTGTTGGGTCTTGGGTGTTGTTTTCATCATACTGTTGGTTTGTGTGGTGGCTATGTTCACAAATTGAACATGTCCTTTTCTCTCTGTCTGAATTTGTTTACCATTAATTAATAATTGACTTTTACAAGTTTGTGCTAATGGTTAGGGGGAGTAGATTTGATGGTCTTTTATCAAATTTCTGGGTTTTTCCAGAGGTTAATGGTTCAGGCTGATTTTGATGTACCGCTGCATGTGTTTACTTTGATTTTAGGCTTTTTTTATTATGAATGTTATTTTGTTTCCTTTGTCTCTGTGGTAAGCAAATATGAAAAATTGTCAAATTTGTCAAGCAAGCATCACCCTTTTACATATAAGTTGTACAAATTCAGATTTGAAACAAAGTGTTCTAAATAAAAGGAGAAGAAAAAAAGGCGATAGGATCTATAAATTGTTCCCCCAGACTCGGCGGTCAGGCCACACTCAGATTTTGCACCGCAGTCCATGATTCGGTCGGCTCTAGCTGAACCTGTCCAATCTGACACATTCACCAAAATACAAAATTATATAAGACCTGCGGAAATTTTGTAGAAAAGGCAAAGAGTTACAAGGAAAAACAATATGTGTTTACACGAGACTAATGTACCTTGGCATTTTCAACACAGACAAAATCTTTATAACACGATTCCATTGTCATATGTGGGTTCCACAAAACAGTATCCGACCAGCTACAGCGAGAATAAAAAGGAAACGAATCAAGCTTGCCAAAAAACAGAAAGAATACAAGAATTCAGAATAAAAAAATCTCGATTACTTGGTGTTCCTGATGGTAATAACATCACCCAAACCATTGTTCAGGTGTAGCTCTTCGGGAGCATCAAGATAGATGCAATCTACAAATCCAGGAAACGTGACAACATCCCTGGTTCAATTAAATCAATTGAGAGAAATATAATAAATCACATACTCAAAAATCTGTTACCATTTACCCATAGGTAACCAAACACTATGCATAAAAATTTAGTACAGACTTCATTATGTCTGAGAAATTCATGCTAATAATAGATAGAATCAATATTTTTTGGTCTCGCAACCGTGGAATCATATTTGCCAAATGTTAAGAATGATTACAAAGATCGGTAAGGTAATGAAGAAAGCAATAACAAGATATAAATTAGGATCCAAAAATAATCCATGTAGGTTGTGAAGCATATTTGATTTAATATAATAAATGGATAAAAAACTCTTAATATTCATTCACCCACTAAAACTTGCATCGTTTTAGTTTTTTATGGTCACAATATATTGGTACAAACCTTTCCTCCTTACCCTCCACTGGATTTTTAGGATCGGGATCTTTGTTCAATGTTTTGCAGCCTTTTAGGCCTCTAACAGATGCCCCTGATGCTGATGCCTAGATATAGGGAATGATGTAATAAATTTTTTGAGATTTAATAAAAATAAAATCTTCCCAAGTGACGGGAAATGATGCAGAAACTGAAATAGAGTAAGGAACATGATAGCCGTGTGTCCACTTTATTACTGTAACTTTAAAGTTTCTAAATTGGTATTATACTAAGTATTTCAAATTATAAACATACTCATTAATATTACAACTAGAAAATAACAGATAGGCTTTATACTTACACTAAAGTATGTATGCAGCGCAGTAGAAAATGAAAATGGTGTTGCATCAGTATTTGTAACTTTTAACTCGGTCGAGAGGGAATTTGTATCTAGAGTGACCTGTAAATGAGTCACCGGAAGGATTAAAACGAGCTTAGTGTGTCAGAGTAATAAAATAACAAAACCAAGAAACAAAAAGTAAAAACACTGGGAATGAATTTTGTGGAACTACAAAACAACAAAACAACTTCTTTGCTGACCTTGTATAATGCTTGAAAACTGTAATCCCACATAGCACGACTGTATGGACCATCTTTCAGCTCTAGAGTAATAGAAGGATTCTCTTCGACATTCTCTGAACTAACAATAGACCAATTCATATTTCTTGCAAATCCGTGCTGCGAATCATGCATAAATCCTTAAGCTCGGTGAGGTCAAACATTAGAAACTGGAAATATACTTGCAACAGTTCTAATAATATCATAGCTTCAATAAAGTCTTTTAGCTTACCACGATTTAACTAGCAACAGATGCGCCAAACTTAAATTGAGTAGCCAGAAAGTAAATTACGAATGTTTTACCTGTTGCATTGGGCCAGGTCCAAACTGTGGGAAACAGTGTGGTATTCCTCCACTAGCCATTAGCCAAACAAACAAAATGAATGAGCAATAATACAAAATCAGTTTATTATTGAATTATAGCTCTCATAGAGCCAAAAAGTCGAGTATCATGAATCATACACCAAATATTACAACAGGTCATAAGCAGTAAACTCATGGTGAGTCATAAAATCTGAAAAATTCCCCTCTATTTTTTTCAGAACTTCGTAGTAATTCTGATGAAATGCATCACGATATACCTGATAGGCTTCTGCCCGGTAAAAACGGCATCTGGCCGAACAAATAAGAGGTCTTTACTCCCTACTTTCCAGGACGTGACACAACCTCCATATAAGTACAATTCTACCTCACTGAAAAATATAAAGGGCATTCAAACAGAGGCCAACATATTCTACAAGATACTCAATCATTTATATCCTCAATATACGAGTAGCTGAAAATCACTCTCAAAATTATAAGGATTGCAGTGAAATATCCAGATGATATATATGCTAACTCTTACTCATTACTAATAGATGGAACTCAAATGACTATTTTAACTGGAACAGAAAAAATGGGCAAACTATTTAACATTCTTACAGCAATCTTAAATACTCCAATAAAAATTATTCCACCATTTGGTTAAGACAATCTTCAAGCCAACCCAGGTTCTGAAAATCATATAATCATACTCCCAACAGAAAAACAAAGAAGATGAGCTGTTTATGCTTGGATACGAACCCAATTTGACAAGATAGCCATATCATTCAAATTTCACATCACTCAGATTATGTTAAAAAGAGGAAAACCAGCAAAATAAAGTACCTGCCGTGAAGAGAAGTCAAGATAACCTTGGGCATATCACCCAGACCCTTTGTAACTTTGACATTCTCAACGTTTGAGCTTGCGGATGCCATTGCCCCTACAGAAAATCTACGCAAAAAATCAAAAACTTATTCCCCTCTCTCTCTCTCTCTCTCTCTCTCTCTCTCTCTCTCTCTCTCTCTCTCTCTCTCTCTCTCTCTCTCTCTCTCTCTAAATATTCATTTTAGTGAAGCAATTGCATGCAAACTGACCGGCTGATTCGGCGAGGTATGGTTGTGGAAGATAAAGAAAGTATCATCATCTTCGGTCCCTCCGGAGAAGTTGTCGATTTTCTGTGGTGTCGAGGGGTGAGTGACAGTTTCCATATGTTCTTTTTTCCGGAAAATTTCATTTTGGTACCTCAAGTTTACCTAATTTCTAGTTTTGATACCCGTGGTTTCAATTTAATCACTTGTAGTCATTGACGTATCTAAAATGCATTATTTTTGCCCAAATCGTCAGTTGACCGTGAGTCAACTGACGGTCACCTTCTCTAGTAGGTTGTCTCCTTCTGCAAGTGATACAAAATGGCGGGTTTCTCCATTACAGCACCACAAAGCTGCAGACAGTGAGGGAAAAGAAAAAAAGAATTTGATTTACAATGAGCAGTTCAAGAGAAAGCTCGAGCTGGAACTCTGAGAATGGTGCTCCAATGGAGATGACCTGCAAGTGTGGAGATAAAGTATACTTGAAGACCTCTTGGACCCAAAATAATCCAGGAAGAAGATATTGGGCATGCCCTAAATATGGAGTAATTATTTTGTTTTTGTTTGTGTTTTCATTTTGTTTTTAAGATATGCCCTAAGTGTGATTTTTTCGAATGCCCTAAGAGTGATTTTTTCAAATGCCCTAAATATGCCCTAAATTCTATTTTTGCAGCAAAAGTTTGGTTTTTGTGGGTTTTTTATATGGTATGATCCAGAAATTTGCGCAAGAGAAAAAATATTATACCCGGTTTGCTGGAAAAATCAAATAGACATCAATATCAAATTGAGCAATACAAGTTGAGGAATGCTGAAATGGAAGCTCAACTCTTGGTGGCTATGAAAAAAGTGGATAACATGAATAATGCATTGGTTGAATTTGAGCAATACAAGTTGAAGAATGTTGTATTGGAAACTCAGCTCTTGGTGGCAATGAACAATGTGAATGACATGAATAATGCATTGGTTGTGTGCAAGAATAAGATAAAAAAATTATGGGCTGCTACTATTCTTCTCTCATTGTTATACCTTGTCAAATTATGTTCTAACTAGATTTAGATAGTTATGGTTGGTGTAATTTGAAGTATTGTTATTATGTAATGCTTTATTTATGCAATTTTTGTACCATTTTCAGTATGAATATTGTTATGCAATTCATGTACCATTTTCAGCATTTGGTTTTCAATGAGTATTGTTATGTATTTGCAATATGAAAAAGGCTCCTAAACCACAACAAAACCTGAACAAAAACTTAACAAAGGTTCACTTTGTTACCAAACACTGAACAAAACCTGAACAAAGAGTCATTGCAATATTCATGTACCATTAGGGACAGACAAAGGATATCCAAAACTGAACAAACCTAAAACACATCCAAACCAAAGTTCACACCAAAAAAACATCACTACAGCACAAAGGTTCTATTCCAGTGCACACTACAACAATCAAACATGTCCATAACACTCACACAATAAATCAATACATTCTCCATCTTTAGCATATCCTCAAATGGATTTATGTCCCTCATTTTGCTTTGAAGTCCCCTGAGCAGCAGCAGCAACAACTCTTAAATTTGAAAGGGTAATGTAGTTGACACCTCCCTTCACAATGACTGTTCCAGTTCCAGAAGATGATTGCATCATCTAAAAGTAGAAAAATTGTGAAATATTATATATATATATATATATGAGAAAAAACAACATGCACAAAAGATAAAAAAAAAACTTACATTAATTGAAGACACTCTGTTTGTGCCTCCACTTAAGTTTACACCACCAAGTGTGGCAGACTCTCTCCTCCTCTTAACCTATTTTGTGCAAAACAATTACAAATGACAGTGTCATTCCAACATAATAAAAGTTACATGTAATTGAAGAGTGGTATTGAATAAATAAAGTTACAACTAATCAAATCAAATCATACTTTCGTCAAATTATACTTACATGTGGCTTTGATCTTTTCTGAGACTGAGAGTGATGCTTAGACTGAGACTGAGCTTGAGACTGAGATTGAGATTGAGATTGAGACTGAGACTTAGATTGTGACTGAGACTGAGTGCCACCCATGCTTCTTGCCACTGGAGTTGTACTTTTAGGCTGTTGATTTTTGCAAGTTCTAGAGTTGTGGCCTTGTTTACCACACTTTCCAAATTTCACTGAATTTTGAACTTTTTTAAGCCTGATTTCAGAGGATGGAGCAGGAGGCTCATCAGGTTGCCTTCTCCTCAATTTTTTGGGCCTGCCTATTTTTATATATTGGTGGCAAAGGAGCTGGTAGATCACATTTAGGCCACAATTCAGAACATGAAATCTCCATGATGGCATTTTCATATGCACTTCTGTATGTGTTTTGACTATACAAGTCATCAACATAACACTTATGATCTTCATGTCTACACCAAATGGCAGCACATGCATGCTTACAAGGGATTCCTGTCAAATCCCATTTTCTATAGCTACAACTCAGTCCAGCAACATCAACTGTGTGTTGATCATAAGGGCCTATGATTTCAAAGTGCCAATCATCACTTTTCATGGGAATACACTTTGCACCATCTTTCATATTTTTTTTAAGTATCTTTTTAATTCCAGGGCAGATCCTCCCAGACCAGTTTTTAGTTGCATCTCTGTTCACTTGTAGTCTAGCCATCAACAAGTGCCTTATTGTCTTAAGCATCACAATGACTGGCTTGTCCCTTGCATTCAAGATGAAAGAATTGAAACATTCACACATATTGTTCAGTAAAATATCACACTTCAGTGAAGTTTTGAAGTGAGACTGAGACCATTGATGAGAAGGTTTATTTACCAGCCACTCATAAGCCTTTGGATCTAGCTCTTTCAATTCATCCATCTTTGCACTAAAAACTTCCACCCTAGTTGCTCTGGCTGCAGCCAACAAAGCATTTTTTATTGACTGACCAACAAACCCATCTCTTTTCATGTTGCTGTGTAAATGTCTAACACAAAATCTGTTTTCAGCATTGGGGAAAAAATCTTCAAAGGCAGGGATAAGCCCTTTCTATTTATCACTCATGAAAGTCCATTCAAGTTCATTATCAATCCCTAAATCATTCTGTAACAACCTCAAAAACCACATCCAAGAATCTTTATTCTCATTTTCAACTATTGCATAAGCAATAGGAAAAATCTGGTTATTTGGGTCAATTCCCACTGCTGTTAAGAGCTGACCACCTTGGGGGGCCTTTCAAGAAGCACCCATCAACACCAATGATTTTTCTGCAGTGCCTAAAACCCTTCTTGCAGGCATCAAAACAAATATACAGTCTCTGGAACACAGGTTGCCTTGATTGTTCTTCACAATTGCTCAGTTTTAAGACAATAGTTGAACCATCATTGAACCTTAACAACTCTAAACAATAGCTTCTGATTGAACTAAATTGTTCTTTTAATGTTTCATCTAGAAGCATCATTGCTTTCTTCTTGGCCCTATAGGCTTGTTGCTTGGAAATATTGGACTTCAGCTTGGTACACAACATACCCCTAAACTCATTGACTCCTAACTTAGGGTACTTCTTAAACTTTTTCATGAAATTCTTCCCTATCCACCCAGATTTGATGCTAGGATTATTGTAGTTCCAAGAACAACCTTTGTGGTTTTTCTCATAACACTTCACCTGCCAAGATGAGTCATTTTGCATTGGTGAAACAAAAATATACCACCCATACCCCTCTGTGGTACACCTAGCTCTCAATCTTCTTTTGTCATTCCTATCAAAACGAACCACCATCCCTCTTCTATAGCAGAAACCCTAAATAACATCCTTAGCCTCTGATTTTGTACTAAAAATCATCCCTAACTTCAACTCAGGGTTTTTATCAGTTTTAGGATTATATTTAGGGAATTTCACAATATTATCCTCCTCATCAGACCCTCTAACACTTTAAAATGAATCATTATCCCCTAACTCAAGATCATGCTCTTCCTCAAATATACCCTCAGACAAAAACTCATTTTCAATTGATTTACCATTATTTTTTTCATTCACCCCAACAAATTCTGCATATTTATCAACATTTCTGTCAAACAAAATATCATCCTCATCCATATCATAGTCACTATCATTGAACTCCTCACATTCTGAATCACTATCATCAACAGAAGCACACTCTTCATTTTGTTCATGTTGTTCAGATTGTACAGATTGTTCAGGATGTTCAGGATGTTCAGGTTGTTCAACATTAGAGTTCAGACTACCAAGAAATCAGAGGTCAATCACAGGATCACTTTCAACCTCAAGATTAGAGTAGTTGTTATCAACATGATGTACATGTTCTAAAACAATTCTCACTATTCTGTTTTCAGGAATGAGGTTCATGACCTTATATGCCAATTGATCACTATCAATAATATGACTACCATCTTGTAAACTAATTCCATGCACATGCCAGGCATTCACATGATCACTGTTATAACCTAGTTGCTCTATAAAATCCTTTAACTCAATCAACCCAAACATCTCCCCATCCACCCCATCAAAATAATCCAAATACCTACCTCGGTACTCTTTCACAGGAATATGCATCATTAAACCACCGTGCAAAAACTCAATTGTAAAGACAGTTGGTTGCAACAAAGGGTCTACAACACAGAAAATAAAATAAAAAAAAATCAAATAAACAAAACAGACCAGGGCAATAAACAAATAAACAGAACTAAAAAACCCTTAATTTGTTCAGCTCATAATCGAAAAACACCTAATTTGTTCAGCTCATAATCGAAAAACCACTAATTTATTCAGCTGAAAAAAAACCCTAATTTTTAGGGCAACTCTCACAATAATCAGATAATATGGAACTTTTCAAAATTAACCATATAATTTCCATTAATTCAAAAACTTAGTGACAAACTCAAGTAAAAAAACTTACCGTATTGAGGTTGCAACCCACGTATAATCCTTCTCGCCATGGAGTCGGATATTGTCGTCGGAAATTTGAAATGGAAGCTCACAATACACCAAAACACCAGTCGATTGCCCACTTGAATGCGATAAAATGGAAGAAATTTTTTACAGGTAAAATGTTTAGGGTTTTTTTTTCACAGCAATTAGGTCTGCTCGATTGGAAGAATTAGGGGAAACCGATTATTTAGGTTTCTTTGGGGAAAGCAACCGGCTAGAGAAAGTGAT